GTCTTTAAAAACAATGGGCAAGATGAGGAAGATTAAGAAAGGTCTCGCATCCGTAAACGGAAAAGATCAGTCTGGTTGCTGGATGGAGAAAGGCAGAGCAGAGAGCAAGGGATGCCAGCAGACCAGCTGGAAGGCTCCCGCAGTAGCGGAGGTAAAAGACAGGATCTTGAATGGGTGGAACTGACAGGACTTGGTGACAGATTACAAATGCGAGCGAGGGAAGAGTCAAGGCTGTCTCTGGCTTGGGCGGCTGGAAGAATGCAGGTACCGCTCAGGCAGGGAGGGACGCTGGAGGAGTCTTACTTTCATCCGCATTATTTGCCCTCATGTCTAGCATTGCTCAGGAGAATCATCTTCAATAAAGAAATGCATCCATGCAGCTATTCACTCCAAGGTGACACAGACTTGCCTGTGCGAGATATAAATCAGGGCCAGCACAGAGAGGTGTGTGCTCTTATGATTTTCTGGGGCTCATCCTCGAAGTCAGTTTTCTCTGTCCTCAATGCCTTAATAAACATGGCAGTCACACATATCTCTAAGAAAACCGTAGCTGATCGGGAACACAGATGACTCTGCCTTTAGGTTCTCCTCAGGATTCCGGAAGTGAGTTTTGTATACATCACCTTTACTGAGCTATAACTCACATACCGTACAATTTACCTACTTAAGGGTACAATTCAGTGGTTTTCAGTATATTCACACACAATTCTGCAACTACCACCACAATCGATTTTAGAAGATTTTGAACCCCCTGGAAACTCCGTGCCCATGAGCAGTCACTCCCTACTTCCCCCAATTACCACTCCCCATGCCTAGGCAACCACTCATCTAACTCTCGTCCCTTACAGCTTGGCCTTCTTTGGACATTTAAGATAAATGGAGTCCCACAGCATGTAGTCCTCTAATGTCTCGCATCTTTCATTTAGTATGCTAATGTTTTCCAGGTCTACCTATGTTGTACAAGTGTCAGTACTTCGTTCCTTTCAATGGCCAAATAATATTCCATTGCATAGAAATACCACATGTTGCTTATCCATTCATCAGTTGATAGACATTTCAGTTGTTTAATTTTGGGCTATTATGAATATGGCTGCCATGAACATTTGTGTGTGAGTCTTTGTTTGCCATATGTTTTCATTTCTTATAGGCAGATACCTGGAAGTGGAATTGCTGGGTCGTATGGTAACTCTGTGTTTAACCTTCTGAGGAACTGCCAGACCGTTCTCCAAAGCAGCTGCACCCTTTTACAGTCACACAGTGTTGGAGGCTACCAACTTCTCCATATCCTTGTCAATACTTGTGATTCTCATCTGTTTGATTATAGCCATCTTAGTCGGTGTCAAGTGATGGATCACTGTATTTTGATCTGCCTATTTCTGATGACTAATGATGTCAGAGTTGTAAGAGTTCTTTATGTATTCTAAGTACAGGTCCCCGAACAGATATATGATTTCTAACATTTACTGCCATCCTGTGGGTTGTCTTTTCATTTATTTGAAGTACTTTGCAGAAAAGTACTAATTTTGTTGAAATCTAATTTATTTAATTTTTGTCTTATTGCTTGTGCTCTTGGTGTCACATCTAAGAAACTTTTGCCTAATCCCAGTTCACAAAGATTTAAGACTATGTTTCTAACAGGTTTATAATTTTAGTTTTATAGATAATTCTAAGAGTTCTATAATTTTAGTTTATCTATACTAATAGTTTTATATTTCTAGCTCTTACAT